GGTCCCGGGGGCGGGGTTAACCCCGGTTTTCGGCGGGGGGGGGGAAAAAAAAAAAAAAAATCAAAGGTGATACTGTTGTTGTTGTTGTTGGATCATTTAATCCACTAGTCCTGGTACAGTATTCACATGGAGGACACGGACCATGTGACTACACTGTAACACAGGGACCATGTGACAACACTGTAACTGAGGGACCATGTGACAACATATGTATGTATATATGAATGTATACTTATATATATTTATATATGTATGTATGTATATATGTATGTATATATGAATGTGTATTTATATATATTTATATATGTATGTATATATGAATGTATATTTATATATATTTATATATGTATGTATATATGAATGTATATTTATATATATTTATATATGTATGTATATATGAATGTGTATTTATATATATTTATATATGTATGTATGTTTATATATATTTATATTTATGTATATATGAATGTATATATATATTTATATATGTATGTATGTTTATATGTATGTATATTTATATATATTTATATATGTATGTATGTATATATGTATTTATATTTATGTGTATATGAATGTATATATGAATATTATATATATATATATTAAATATAACATAATATATCATATAATAGAAAAGGCCGTTGTGTGGGGGGTTGAAGTATTTGTTTATACACCTTGTAGTAATATTTTGAACAGTACTCTGTTTATTTGTGTACTATTTATGATGTATTTGCCCCCCCCCCATTTCAGCTGCTGTTTGTGCTCGTTCTACCAGCAGGTGGTGCGAGTGAGCCAACTGGGACTGGTGTGAATGTGACAGGGTCAAGCGGTGGTGTGTGGACCTGAGCTGCTCTCTGATTGGTGACGTCACGTTTGGAGTCACCCCCTGAGACTGTGACCACTGGAGCCGGATTCATCCCCCGGAAACGGACAGTACCAACATCGGCCGCTAGAGGTCAGTGTTTCTCACATTGGATCATTTAATCCACTAGTCCTGGTACAGTATTCACATGGAGGACACGGACCATGTGACTACACTGTAACACAGGGACCATGTGACAACACTGTAACTGAGGGACCATGTGACAACATATGTATGTATATATGAATGTATACTTATATATATTTATATATGTATGTATGT